AAGCTTTAGAGCTTCCTGACGAGGACCACGAGGATATTGACAAGTTATGGGTAGAGATCAGGGATAATATTAAAGCGGTCGGTAACTCGTGCCTAGGAAAAAAGGAAAATAAGAATAACAAACCGTGGTTTGATGAAGATTGCTTAAACATGTGCGAAAAAAGAAAAGCCGCTAAATTAAAAGCTCTAAATAATCCTAGCGAAGACAATCTGGAATACTTCCGAATCTCAAAGAACGAAACGACAAAATTGCTCAAAAATAAAAAAAGGGAGTATCTTAAAAATAAAATAATTGAAATAGAAACTAATAGAATCGAAAATAACGTAAGAGACATGTACAAAGGTATAAACAGATCACGTAAATATGTAGGGCCCGTAACGTCTGGAATTAGGGATGATAATAACAATATTCTGACCGATCCGGTTGACATATTGAATAAGTTTAAGGACCACTTTGACAATATTTTAAATACGGGAAATTATGATCTGTGTCCTCCTTCTGAGTACCAGAGTGCTGAACCGTTAATAGAAGGACCAAGTAAAGAGGAAGTTGAAGTAGCTATCGGAAAATTAAAATCATATAAAGCAGCGGGAATCGATAATATTCCTACTGAACTAATTAAGGCATGCGGGGAAGCTGGAGTTTCTAAAATACATCGGTTGGTTAAAAAGATCTGGGTGAACGAGAAATTACCTGAAGAATGGAAAGAATCTATTCTTATTCCGATTCACAAAAAGGGTCCGAGGACGGATTGTAATAACTATCGAGGAATTTCACTCCTTCCGGTATGTTATAAAATATTCACTTCAATCTTAACCAGTCGAATCACGGAATACGCCGAGGAAATTATCGGAGACTACCAATGCGGATTTAGACGGAATCGTTCGACTATTGATCAAATATTTTCTTTACGGCAAATATTAGAGAAAAAATTGGAGTATAACGGTATTGTTCACCAGCTGTATATAGATTTTAAAAAGGCTTACGATTCTATTGACCGCCAGAAACTGTATAATATTCTAATTGAGCAGGGGATTCCAAAAAAACTAATAAATCTAGTCAAGATGTGCTTGACGGAGACACTCAATAAAGTTAGAATCGGTAATAATTTGTCCGAAAAATTTGAGGTTCGTTCGGGCTTAAAACAGGGGGATTCTCTTTCGCCTGTCCTGTTCAATTTGGCATTAGAACATGCCATTAGGGAGGTAATGCGAACCGAGAAAGGGTTGGATCTGGGCGGGACAACATCCGTGCTGGGCTATGCTGATGATCTGGTACTGTTAAGCGAAGACGTTGAAACTATAAAACTAAATACGACAACGTTAATGAAAGCCGGTAAAGAACTAGGACTCGAAATAAACGTGGATAAAACAAAATATATGGTTAGCTGCAAAAATGGCGATACTACTGGTGATATCGATATAGATGGTAATATGTTTGAACAGGTAGATAAATTTAGGTATCTAGGTTCTACGATAACTAGAAAAAACGAAATTGAAGAAGAGATTAAGGTTAGACTGAAGGCGGGAAATGCTTGTTATTTTTCTGTGACAAAACTACTTAGTTCGCGCCTCTTGTCCCGGAACTTAAAAATTAGAATCTATAAAACAATTATCTTGCCTACAGTTCTTTATGGATGCGAAACTTGGCCGCTTACATTAAGGGATGAGCAGCGTCTTAAGGTTTTTGAAAATAAAGTATTGCGTAGAATATTCGGACCGAAGAAGGATGAGTTAACCGGAGAGTTCAGACGGTTACACAACGCCGAATTGCGTGAGCTGTATCCGGGTAATATAATTGATGTAATTTCATCGCGGCGAATCAAATGGGCTTGTAAAGTTGTTGGGCTTAGTAACGAGAGAATTCCTAAAAGGTTAATATTTGCTGTGCCGAATGGTAAGCGTCCGAGGGGTAGACCGAAGCGAAGGTGGGAAGATTGCATTAAAGCCGATCTGAAGGGACTGGGTTTGGACGGCGAACGGTGGAGGGAGGTGTGTAACAAGCGATTGGTGGTGTCGGCATCGAACCTTCGGGTTCGCTAAGCCTTATTATTATTTCGATTCTTTATTCTCGCTTTGCGGGATAAGTTTCTGAGGTGGGAGACCAGAAGTTCAGCCACTTCAGATTAATATCTATTACTTTTTAGATATTTAAAAACTTTCGAACAATACGTCCCGTATCCAAGAGAACTGAGTGTTGAGCCTCTTTCAGCACTTCAAGAGGTAATTTTAATCCCATCGTGCCTGCCACTGTTGTCTTTGGTATCAATCCATTGGAAGATATTATAATTGGAGTGGTGGTGACGTTCCCCAAATGATATAATTCCTTCAGTTCGATTGCCAGTTCCTGGTATTTTCTCAGTTTTTCTCCAACAGTGGAGCTTATATTATTATCATTGGGGATCCCGACATCAATAAGCTCTGCTCTTTTCTCTCTCATGTCTATCAGAAGGATGTCTGGTTTATTCTGACGCACAGTATGGTCAGTTATTATCGATTCATCCCAGTAGAGCTTGAGACTACCTTTTTGGAGGAGTTTATTTGGGTGGTACTTATAATATGGAGTTTTGTCATCTAACAAGTTGAACTTCACCGCCAGAGCCTGATGAAAAATTCTAGCCACATTGTTATGCCTCTGGAGATACTCGGTGCCAGCCAACACTCCACAACCACCTGTGACATGTTGGATTGATTCCAGCGTCGCTGAGCATAATCGACATTTTTCCGTAGTTGTTGCGTCTTTAAGAACATGCCTTCTATATGATCTAGTAGCAATAACTTGGTCTTGGATGGCGAGCAGAAATCCTTCTGTCTCGGAGAATATCTTCCCAGCTTTCAGCCATTCAATGGATATTTCCTTGTCAATCGAGCTATCATTTAATTTGCTGTAGAATCTTCCATGCAGAGATTTATTTTTCCATTCTGTCAAGCGTTCGTTTTCTGACACGATTGTAGATACCTCACGATTGCTCAGGTTAAGTGCGGTTAGACCATAATCCAATCTTGAGATTGCGAGGTAAACCTCAGTTGCTTTTGTAAGAAAGTATCGGCGTAGGGCTGCTTCCTGCTTGCGGCAAGCTTCTTCGATATTTAGCAAACCACGTCCCCCTTCTTTCCTAGGCAAATACAGACGAGCTTTGGAGGATATTGGATGGTGGCCCGTTCTTGTGTGAGAGTTGTTCGCACAAGGCGGTCGATCTCCTGTAGGCTGGTGTTCGACCAGTGCAATATGCCGAAACTATAACCGAGAGCAGGTATTGCCCAGGTGTTAATGGCCTTGATTTTTGTTTCCCGGTTAGCTGGGTTTTGAGCACTTTCCGCAAATCTAATTTTGAACATTGTCAGAAGGTCTTGTTGCATATCTTTTCTTGCAAGTTTAAGATTATTATTATTATTATTACAGTAAGGGTAAGTATTGCGATCGTGAAAATTTTCGAATCTCAGTTTTCAACGGAAATGCATGTTTTAAGGTCTCCTGAGTCCAAATAACCAAGTGTCGCAAAATGGTCTTTGTGTGTGTGTGTTAACAGTCTAGCTCATAAATGAAAAGTAGTACGAAACTGATATTAAGTATTTCAGGTTTGTATATAGGCCGGATGTGACAGCAACTTTTTCGTTAAAATCGGCTAATCTGAAGTGCCACTTTATATCAACGCTGAAACACATTTTTACAATTTTCTCAAAAACAGCTCTAACGATTTTGATAAAACTCAGTGTATCATTGTATAATTAAGTGTTCTTTAATATCATTTAGGTCTTATCCCTGTTGATGTCACTTTACAGGGCTTAAATGCCCAATGTTCATATATGTCTTCCTCTAAAGTACCTTTAATATGGTTTATTTTAAAAATTTAACCATTTCACATTATTCTGAGTTACCAAAAAATGCTACATGTAACTTTTGAAAGAATTTGATAAGTTAATAAAGGAGAAAAAAAATAAAAATGCAGAAAAACCTGCGTTACTTTAGACTGTAGTGCTTAAATCAATGTACTGATTTCAATTAAACTTCGCTAAAGTCATTTTCTTGACACCCTTTAAATTTATCTATATAACATAAAATGGTAAAAGGATGGTAAAATTAAATTCCGAATAACTCCAAAAGTATACACTTTTTTGGGGATATTGTATCTGCTTTTTTAAAAGTTTATGAAATTTCCTAAAAAACAAAAAGAAATTCGTTAAAATTGGACAATTAGGAGCACAGATATGGTCTCTAGTTTTTTTTCCCTGAAGAGATGAAAATTTGGATAAATTTAAAATATAATTTTTTAATTGTGAGACTAAAAAAACATTTTTTCTACAGATAATCAATAATGTACCTTTCCTAAGAACATCTTTCATAAGAAATAAGTACCTAAATTTAAACCTTTATTCTCAGTTCTATATTTCAACACTGCAATCACCACCTCCGAAATCAACTTACTGTCTCATAGATAACTTTTTCAACTAAAAATATCACTAAAATGACATTACTCAAAAATGTTGAAATTGGAGTTAGTCATTCTGTTGTTTATAAAAGCAAAGAAAGTTGTGTGGTTTATAAAAGCAGATGGAGTAACTACATCATTCGATATAATAAATAGACTTTTTACAATTTAATGGCTTGTTGTCTGTAAGCTTTAAACTTTAGCTCCGTTTAAAATGCCCTTCAAAAAATTTTATAATAGCCCAGCATTGGCAGAAAATAATTTCTATTCAAAGTAGAGCGGCACGTGAAAGTTATGTGTTGTGCGCACCAGATTTTTTTCAATTAGTTTATTTCTTGTAGCTAAATATATCTATTTTAGTTTAAAAATTCAATTAAAAAAAAAATTGGTTATTTAGGGAAGAAAACCCTCATTTGGGACAGATAGAATTGGCTCAAGTGAACTGAGACCTCTCCGCACCACTATTTAGGTAGGGTATGGGTAAGAAGTAATTAAGAAAAGGAACTTAGTAATTACTGGAACAACATAACATGACGATGTATAAGAAAGACTATATTAAAGAAGTTATTTTAAAAATTTATTTCAAAAATACATAATTTAAATTAATTTATTTGTTTAAAATTGTTATTATCGTTTATACAATTACATCTGACACTCAATACCCATAAGCACAAATTAATTTTACTACAATCCATTTCTATTAAATAGAAACAGATGCGTTAAAAGGAAGCTCACATAGGTCTCTGGTAAATAAAGATAGACCACCCTGATAATAATAATAATAATAATCCAACAATAATAATTTAAAACAGAATAATCTTTTTGAACTTTTTTCAAATAAATATAAAAAATTACACATAATTACAGTGTCATATATAATATTTTTCATTTGGAATAATATAAATATATGTAATGTATGTACATATGTATATAAACACAGATAAAGAAGGAGAATGAATGGTTTAAAAATTACTAAACAAAGCTATTTCATTCATCTGAATTGAAGTTAAATTAAATAGTTTGCCCTTTATGGTATTTAATTAAGCATCACTGATCTGGATATTGGAAGAAATTTAATAACAAATATTACTTAATTAAACATTATACTTTGGCATATCTTGTTTTAAATTTTTCTTGTTTACCACAATATTCATTAAATATTAATTTAAATAAAAACAGATGAAATATAACTATAAGGAAAATAACAGAAGCCCAAAACATCAAAGGTAGTCCACCGAGATGATGTCCATGTCTATGTAATGCTATAACATGATGATCATAGGCTGGAGCTAAAACAAATAATTATTATTACTAAAAATATAATTATATTTAACAGACAACAGATTTGATTAAAGTAGAAAATACAGTAAAATTAAAAGTTAATCATTATAACACTGTCCATGTTAATCAATCAAGAAACAAGGTGTTGTGTCAAAACACTAAATTCATAGTTACCATTTAAATGATCAAAATTACTAGGATGAGATCATCTAATCAGCTAGCTATTTTTCATGATCTACACCAAAAACAGATGACTGGAATGGTGGAAGAAGGCAGAGGTTACGACTCACTAAAAAGAACTAGCTCTGACACAGTCCTCCATAAAAACGAATGATGACCAGCAAGTGATACAGAAGGATTCAAGAGGAGCTTTCAGGCTGAAACCTCCCCCTCCCACAAAATAGGAAAATATGTTTTTTCCATTGGTCTATATTTGTTTCTATGAGTGATCTGAGCCAAATACTTAATCAATCACATATATTCTCTATTTAAAGACCACATATTATAAGGCATGTACTTCAGCTACCAAATGAAAAAAGCTTATAAAGTGAAAGTAGAGGTATAAAACATTTTATTCCTGAAAGTATTATTGTTCCTGCAATTACTGTAATTAGAAAAAGAAGTTTAGCTCCTCCCCAAAATTGAATCCTGAATTCGCTACTGAAGAGTAATCATTGCAATTCATTAACAGAGATTAATCAGTCAAAATAACATAGCTAACACTCTTTTTCCTAAACTACTAATCATTCATTTAATAAATATGAAATAAATTAAAAGCAATCTAAAGCTCTTTGAATCACTTTATGAATAGGCCAGCCATCTCTAGTGAGTGAGCTGATGGGTCTAACTTAGTCAATAAAAGGAAGGGAAAAAAAAATCTGAAAATTATAAAGAATGTAGACCTCAACAGGTATCGGTTACACATTTTGGCTGAGTGCCCATCCAAGCATCAAGTATTTCAATTGCATTTCGCTTTTAAATATGTATTACAGTGTCCAGCACTTCTCTAAAAAAAATTCATACATTCTCCGGTTTTTTCCAATATTCTTCATGAATTTCTCTGTTACACATAAAAAATCTTAATAAATGCTGTTATGTATAATGCATTAAGTAATTACAAATTAAAATAATGTAAACTCTTTTTGCAACTTATACTCATGTTACACTTTTTACTTTATTTTAAGTCAAGCATAATATTTGAGTACTGGTATATACAGTACATACTCAGTAATTTGAATTGGTTAATCTGCTTTCAATTATTCACTATTTCTATTTTAAATGCCACTTTTTAGTCCGAGTATCTCCTCAAAATAGGCTTTCTAAGAGTTCTCTTGCTAAAAATAGCGAAATCATTAAAGTCACAAAAAAAAAAACTCCATCAACCTATCTAAGTTTTGGTCTGCCTAACCGCCTTGTGCAAATTCGCTCCTTTAATAATTTTCTCAATATATGATCTGGAGGCATCCGGGGAACATGCCCAGCCCTCTTAATCTACCAATCCTAATTAATCTCACTACATTGGAATCTCAATATAGCTCCTGCAACTCATCATTTGTTCACATTCACCATTCCTGATGGTTATGGAGTACAGGACTGATTTATGGCCAATAATAGAATAGAAGAATCAACTTTATTCTGGGACAAAGTCCCTTAAAAATAACAATATTGGTCATAAAAATTAACATTACATCTCGCCAAAATACATATTACAATATAAGAATAACTAAAACATAAGTAATAAGAGAAGTATTTACATAGCTATACAGATATATTAAAGAAAAAGATAAGCAATAAGGTCACAATACTGCAAAATAGTTGCTACAAACAACAAAGTATAAAATAACTAAATGACACTGGAAAAGAACGATAAATTACTTGTGTTTTCAAACCATTGTAGTAATGAAAAAATAATAATAAAAAGTAGATAAATATTTACAATGAAAGATTTACATCTGTACCTTAATATGTTCAAATGAATACTTATAATAGTATTGTAAACATTAGAAAAGATTATATAAGTATAATCTATATCATAAGATGTAGATTGATAGGAGAAAACAAAAGAAAAAAGAAAAAAGAATATACAAATATAGGAGTGCATTTAATATTAGTAGACAATTAAATACATCTCAAAGACTTAAAATCTTATCAATAGAAAAAAAAACAATTCTCAATGATAAGTGACTGAAAATCTTTTCCATACTCATAAAAGAAAATATATATATATATATATATATATATATATATATATATATATATATATATATATATATATATATATATAAATGATGTATAGAGAAAAATGAAACCTTGTTACATAATAAATAATTACCCAGCATCTGATTGAATTGTAAGGAGAAATTGGAATAAGAGGGTTTTAAATATGGATAAGGATGGTGCATGGCGGATATTGAGTGCGATGGAATTCCAAAAAGTGGTGGAGCACATAATGACTTCCTCATAGGAAATTCTTTCTATCCACACAAGAGAATCCACAAAATCACTTTCTCATGCATGGAACGAAATAGTGTAATTGACTATTTCATATATGATAGTAACATAAGGCAGTATTTCACTGATATGAAAGTTGTAAGAGGAGCGGAGATAAGCAGCGACCACCTTTTACTTGTGGCTGATACAAAGATCATTTCTGAGCATAAAAGCAAAATAAAAGAATATGAAACCCTCAACGTAAGGGCCTTGGATGACCCAGAGAAAAGGGCTCTCTTTACAGAAAGCCTGGAAAATAAATTAAGAGAAACATCATTCGATTGAGTGCTCTCTCTAAAACATGTATTCTGGAAACAGCAAAAATAGTTTGTGGAAAGAAGAGAGTGTCTGGTAAGGATAAGCGAACAGAATGGTGAACCAATCACCTCCAACGACTGGTTTCTCGGAAGAAGCTTGCCTAGAAAGCATACCTTAAAGATAGAACTGAAGGAAAGCTACACATTTATCGAATAGTCAGGAATGAATGTAAGGTAGCCATACGCCAGGCCAAGAAGAAGTCGTGGGAGGATTTTGGTAAAAGGCTGAGCAAGGAACATCGCGAATCTATAAGAATATTTTGGCGAAAAGTTAAAATGTTAAGAGGAAAGCAATGCAAGCCCATTAGAAATGTAAAAGGTAGCGATGGAAAAGGAAAAAATCCTACTTATAGACAAGGAAAAAATCCTTGGCAGATGGAAGCAATATTTTCAGGAACAATTTTCCCAAAATCCAGAAACAGATCATTGCCAAGAACAAGAGCCCAATATTCAAGAATGTCTGGAGGTTATGGAGGAAGAAAAAAATAGAAAATGCAATCCACAAGCTAAAAAGAGGTAAAGCATCAGGAAGAGATGGAATTGCACCAGAGTATTTGAAATATGGTGGTCAAGAATTTCTTAAAACACTTCAATCGCTGTTCCAAGAAGTATATGACAGAAAGAAAATTCCCAGAGACTGGGAATATTGTATAATCCTCCCGATTTATAAAAAACGATGCATGACAGACTGCAAAAATTATAGACCCATTAGAAGCGGAACAGGCTGGTTTTGTCTAGGCCGACAGACACAGGATCACATCTTTGTTCTCAGAAATATTGCTGAAAAAGCTTGGGACAAAGATAAAAATATGAATCTTGCATTCCTTGATCTGAAGGCAGTGTTTGATGTAGTCCCAAGAAAAGAAATTTGGAATGCCCTAATAGCCAAGGGTGTACCTGGAGACTTATTGGCAGCCATACAATCAGCCTACCAAGGAGCCATGGCTGTGGTAAGAATAAATTGTATAGAATCGGAACCTTTTCCAATTGCGAGAGGAGTTAGACAGGGAGATAGCTCAAGTCCCCTTCTATTTATAAATGTAATGTATGAAATCCACAAAATCTGCAAGCGCCGAACTGCATGGACAACAATTGGAAAATGGAATATGGGAACTGTCCTCGTACAAAGCCTTTTATATGCGGATGACATTGTCCTAATAGCCAACACCAAGACCAAACTACAACAAGCTCTGATAGAATGGGAAGAAGAGTTCCTCAGGAAGGGGATGCAAATTAACACCTCCAAGAGTAAAGTGCTGGTTATGGCGAAGGAAGAACAGGAAGATGTACAACTGATCAGCAGCGGTGAGACACTTGAAGTAGTGACTGAATATACCTACTTAGGAACCGTAATTAGTAGCTCTGGTAAGATAGACGCTGAAATATCAAAGAGAATATGTAAGGCGAATCAAGTGTATTACCAGACTACTAATAGCATCATCGGCCACGGCGAAGTAGACAATAAGACCAAAATGCACACGGCGGAGAAAGCTGGACAATGCTGAACAGGAATTCTAGTCACAGCAGAAATGAGGTTCCTTCGCAGATCTGTTGGGAGAACTAAAAGGGATCGCATTTGGAACGAAAGCATTAAAGAGCAGCTAGGAGTTACCGAACTTAAAACCACTCTAGAAAGACGGCAACTCCAGTGGTTTGGACATGTCTGCCGCATAAACAAGAACATGAATCCTATAAAGATATTAGAAGCTCGACCCACAGGAAGGAGACCACGCAGAAGCACCAGAATTATATACCAAGAGTATATCCAAAGAATTGGAAGTAAAAGAGGCAAAACCCTCAATGAGATAAAGCGGCTAAGCAGGGACCAGGAAGAGTGGTTATGCTGGATTGAGGCTCCTCGACGCTAACTAATGGCATAAAAAGAAGATATTTGTTGGACGTTTTGGGAAATATTCTTTCAATAATCAGAGAAATATACTATTTACAGTTGCTCTCTCTCTCTCTGTTTCTTTAAATATAATTTAAATAAAAATACTTAATATTTTATAATATAAAATATAAAAATATTTTATTGTAATATATTTTAGATGATTTAACCACTTTACTAATGATAATGCATACAATTAAAAATTTAAAAAGCTAACCTTCCACAACTTTGTGGACATGTAGTGTATCCTTAATAAGTTCCATATGATTTTTGTCAGAAGTTATATACAATATAGAGGTAATTGGATCAGTCATTTTCACTGGAAAGTATACTTCTGAAGAACTGAAAACAAAAGTATACTTTAATACAAATCATAAAGATATGTTAAAATAATAATACAATAAGAGAATAATACTTTATTCATAAGTACTTTCTTGATATTGTATTTCCACTAATTTTAAATGACTACATTATCTATTTAACAGGGAATGAAGAGGTCAGACAAACTATTATACATATTTTGCAACATAAGCAATATTGTGAAAACAGAAATGAACGAATAGACGATAAAATGAATCTAAAAATAAAAAAGACTATTGAAATTAATTTAACCTCATCATAATTAAGACATATTTTGGATTAAAATTATAGTAAAGGATCTTAAATGTTGTGGTTATTTCATCTAGCAAATGTTATAAGACCACAATAATAAAACAAAAATAAACATTTGTTGGAATTAAAATTTTATAATATATTTATCTAAACTACTATTATAATTTATAAACAACTATAGTATAAGAATAGAACAAAAGAAGGCACATATGTTTTGCAAGTGAAGGTCATAAACTAAATAGTTCAATTTTCTAAATAAAAAAATTAATTCTAAAATACCTTAATTCTACAGGTTGTAATGAACAGCCTCCGTCACAAGCATAATAAACTTTATCTTTTTCAGTTTTATCCACAGCAACACCAAGAAGGGCTTTATTGTCATCTTGCAATGTAACAGATACATTTATGAAAGTATTGAAATCATACTGTATCCTCCTACAAAAACAATAACAATTTTTCAAATTGTTAAACACACTCATAATAAAACACTAATAAAAAAAAACATAATTGAAAAACCATTGCATGGAAATGAATATATAACTCAGTCATTTTAGTATTAATTTATTTATAGAAGGAAACATAGATGTTTTATATAATTTCATAAAAATATATTTATTCAACTAAAGGTAATGGAGAACTAGCCTTTTCATGTAACATATTGTTATAAGTTTTGAAATTTTTAATTCATATAACTGTATTGGTCCTGTGTGCTTGTTGTGGGAAATAAACTGATATAGGAATGAATACCAATACCCTTATATATGTATCAGGAAAAAAATAAATAAACATAAAATTTACAGGCTGTTATGAAATATTCTCAATCAAGTATACATAAATAACTACATCTGATATGTTGGTTATGTGTGCAAAAAGTTAAAAAAAAAAAAAAAAAAATCAATCTTTTTTTCACAAAAACTATTGAAATAAAATACAGTTATTGCTAATTAAAAATATTTCAACGATCACGTTGCTTAAATATCATAGTGTAAGTAATCATTAGCTAGCTAAACATTTACCAAGTCCAACATCATCCTTTTAGCCAGTGAAATTTGATTCTCATTTACAGTTTTTATAACTGAAACTATCAAAAGTATCATAGAGGGATCTCCATTTTTATCATCATCCTTAGTAAGTTATAAGGTATACTACAGTTGAAGAATTGCATAACTTTGTAAAATTTAGAATATTTAATTATCTTGAAAATCATAATATTTTAAAATTTTGAATGTATTTATGTTAATTCCAATTTGTAATTTGTAACCCAAATTTTTTTGTGGGTTCTTCAATTAATGAATATATAAATAATTGAAGGAAGTTAGTCGACTGTTCTACATACCATGGGTGATAAATATTCAGGACGCAGTCATTATAAAGTTTTAATTAGTGCCGACATTTCAACCCAAACATTTGGGTCATCATCAGGGCGTGTTTCGAGCACTGAAGGTATTCAAGTACTGATCACATTCAGTCCGTACTTGAACGCTTTCAGTGTTCAAAACATGCCCTGATGATGATTCACATGTTTGGGTTGAAACATCGGGTTCAATAAAAACTTTATAATGACTGTGTCCTGAATATTTATCACCCAGAATATATAAATCTAGACATTAAAATGAATTATTTCTTGAACTAAAAATTACGAGTTATAAATGAGAGCTGATAAAGGATGTAAGAAAAGTTGAGTACAATAAATTTTCAAAATTTCAATAATGACAACTAGTTTTTCCTGGTAGTAAAAATTTTGTATAAACATCAAAATTAATTTAAACTATTGTATTAAAATTCTTTTGGTCATTTTCTCCTGTTAATATTTTATGAACGCAATAAAACTAAATGTAGCCGAGTTATATTATTTATGTCTATATGTACTTATCACCACTAAAACAATGTATATCATATACATTGTCCTTCAAAGTCCTCTAATTTTTTTTTTCTGTGAAATTATTGGTAATCAATACAGAAAATACCTTCCACAGAATTCCTTATAGAAGAGCGAGGCATCCTGAATAAAACATGACCTTACCTTCCATTAAGTGTGAAACCACACAAGCCTCAGATTTCATAGTGTTTTTTATCAGTAAGCCTAATAATATCACAAATTTAAAAAATAATATCTTTTGAACCAATGATCATAAAGATTTCAACTATATATTTTATAATATGTGTGAAATAATAATAATAGTCAAAACATATATTTACCTCATTATAAAAAAAATCTTTAAAGCCTTAATGTAACTACTTACTGAAAATGAATGTAAATTACAAATATTTGTATGCTCTTACCTTCTCACAAACATCTGCATTATTTCATGCTAGCAAATTATTATTAGTAGGTAGCTGGTGACTTGGAAGTTTCCTCAGCTAGTAAGGCAGCTTTGTTTTTAAGTGGTAAAATATAAGAAGAAAGCTGCAATTTCACTTGGGAATTAACATATAATCATATAGTGTTAATTTTATTTCTACAAAAAGAAATAAAAATAACAAAAACAATCTAATGAATTGTTGATCAAATCTTTATCAATACTGGTCGTAAGATTATGCCACTTTATCAGAGATGAATGCATGTAAAACATGTTAGGTGGCAAAATAACATAACTGAACTCACATAATTTTTTGTAACATGTGATTCTATGTATGGCTTTCGAGTAATTACCACCACTGTTCCATCATAAAATGAAACAGAAACACAAAGGAATTTCACCATCTTCTAAACATTAAATAATGAGACGCTGGAATGTGAAAAACTCTTCTTTCAGGAAAAAAACATTTATAGCATTTTGCCCTTTGAGTGCAGATTTGATAGTATGTCTGCAAGGTTAAAGCATTATCCACCAACCATCAGAGATCTATGTCCATTTAAGTTTTAGCAGAAATATTTTAAACAGTACCATACTTCAACCTTTTTTTCTTTCTTGTTGAGATCAGATACATACTCCCTGATTTTAGTTTAATGAAATGAATATTAATTGTATTACTTTTTATTTTATTTCTATAAATTCAGAGACTGAAGGCTGGGAACAGTAGGGTGAAGGTCACAGAGTGCCTAGATCAAAACAGTATTGGTTTGATTCCCACCAGAATTGAATCAGTAAATGTTCAGGTCCCAAATGAATATGAGAATTGAATCTTGATACTCTCATTCTCGTTAGCATGGGGCAACAACCTTTAAGTAGGCAAATACTACTCTGAGCACCGAGCACCAAGTATTTTACTCAAATTGAATCACTATTGGGAATTCAATCACTACTTCACTTAAACTTTTGACATCAATTGAAGTAGTAATTAAATTCTTGGTTACTAAAAAAAACAAAAAAGGTCAGTATTTGAGTGAAATACTTGGTACGCGGTACACTGAGTAGCATTTGCCAACCTCTGCTAGGTAGCCATCATGGATTCGCAAAAAGACTCACAATGCCCATTTGCCAGAGTAATTCTCCCTACCAATACCAGTAACAGACCATTCACGTTGGCACTAGTAATGTTGATCCTTTCTGTATTGGTAGAACATTTAATTATTTAGAAATTTAAACAAAAATATAATTAAAGATCTTAATAGGAAACATAACTTACCGAAATACATAGTCTCTATGAAGGAACTTTGGATCAATCTTGAATTCTAAATGATGGGCGCTAAAATGGAAACCACCAAAACTAAGCACCATGGCTTGCATGACACCTTCACTACCCAAAGAAAGTAGTTTATGACAGCCCTAAAAACAATAATATGCATAAAAGAATAAATATGATTTAATAATTAAGGACCAAGTGAGTTTTGGGCGTTATTCAAATAAATTATTTGAAATTTTATCTAGATAACGAATAATAGATAAATTTTTATTCATTATTCTTATTCGACGACCTTTGGACAGATAATTATTTGTTATTTACAAATAATATGCATTATCTATTATCTATTATTCATTATTTAAGATAAAAATACAATTCAAAATATTTTTTTTTTAATTTTAAGAATTTCTTTGATATTTAGGTCTGTTTATATGTTTTAGGGGCAATGTTTATATGTTTTTGAAAATGGTCTCTAGCATTTAGATATAACGTCCCAGGGCATTTTTGTAACTTTTCGGATTTAATCGATATGAGGGTCGACTATTATGTTTTGGGAGGGCGCTTTTTATGAAAATACTGTCGGATTTAAGATAGCTCCCCTGGTTATCAACTTTTTCTCAGCTTTTCAGATAAAATCGATATGTGGGTCGACTATTATGTTTTTGGGGGTGCTTTTTATGAAAATACTTTTGGATTTGAGATACCGCCACCAGGGATCGACTTTTTATAACTTTTTAGAGTAAATCGATATGAGGGTCAACTATTACGTTATGGGGAGCGCTTTTTATGAAAATACTGTCGGATTTGAGATAGCTCCCCTGGTCATCAACTTTTTCTCAGCTTTTCAGATAAAATCGATATGTGGGTCGACTATTATGTTTTTGGGGGTGCTTTTTATGAAAATACTTTTGGATTTGAGATACCGCCACCAGGGATCGACTTTTTGTAACTTTTTAGATAAAATCGATATGTGGGTCGACAATTATGTTTTTGGGGGAGCTTTTTACGAAAATACTTTTGGATTTGAGATAGCGCCCCCGGGCATCAACTTTTTCTCAGCTTTTCAGATAAAATCGATATGTGGGTCGACTATTATGTTTTTGGGGGTGCTTTTTATGAAAATACTTTTGGATTTGAGATACCGCCACCAGGGATCGACTCTTTGTAACTTTTCAGATTAAATCGATATTAGGGTCAACTACTATGTTTTTTGGGGGGAGGGAGGCACTTTATATGAAAATACTGTCAGATTTGAGATAGCGCCCCCAGGCAGCTTTCTTAGCTTTTCAGATAAAATCGATATGTGGGTCGTCTGTTAGGTTTTGGAGGGGGGGGGCGCTTTTCATGAAAATACTGTTGGATTTGAGATAGCACCCCTGGGCAGCATATTTTTCTAACTTTTCAGATTAAATCGATGTGAGGATATACTATTATATTTTGGGGGTCGCTTTTTATGAAAATATTGTAGGATTTAACATTGCGCAACTTCTCATTGAATTTTTGTAACTTTGCGAAATAAATCGATATTATGGTTGACTATTATGTTTTTGCAGGAAGGCGCTTTTTATGAAAATACTGTTGGATTTATGATTGCGTCCCCAGGCATCAACGTAACTTTTTTAAGATTTGTAACTTTTCAGATTTTATGAATATCACGGTCGACTATTATATGTTTTGGGGGGAATTTTTTATGAAAATACTGTCGGATTTGAGATAAATTTGTTAAATGATTGATTTACTCAATACGCAAGTAAATCACTCTGTAATTTGTAATTTTTACTCTTAGTACTTTTTGCCTATCTCTAATTTTCAATTACACTATCCAGAATGATGGTTGGCAACCTTTTGCAGCAATCTCTATCCTGTTTTTTTATGTGATAGGGTATTTTTAGCCTTATGCCCAACCCCCAATCTGGAGGACTAGGAGCAATGATGTAAGACACAAGGTCGCTCACCTCCCTGTGAATCTCTGGGTGGGAACATTACCCTCCCCATGGGGGAATCGAACCTGCACCGTAGTGATCAAAGCAACTGAGTAGGGCCTGCAATTATTTATTTTAATTTATTATTATTAATTATATTTATATTTTATCTTCTTTTTTGTTATTAAATCCCATGATTGGGATTTGAACTCAAGATATAAAATTTTTGAAGCCAAATTAACTCGCTCAATCACCACGGTCCCAATCCAGGTTTAGATTATAAGTCACTTTTATTGAACTCAAAGATGGTACATACCTGTTTTTCTAAAGTTAACAGCCATAATGAAACCGATTCATTTACTTCCTTAAAAGTTTTTAAATTTTTCCAAAGACGTAATGCTTGTCTAGAAAAAAAAGAAAAGAAGTGCAATAAGGAAACTAATTTAAATGCATAAACTGATATGAAACAGGAAGTAACTAAAAATAAAATTATGTATGATTTATAAGTACAAATAGCAGCCTTATAAAATAAGAAAACAGTAATGAAAAAAACTACTGAGATTCACTTAACATTTTGGGTGTTATCAATCAACATTGTGTTAAACTATACTAAAAATAACATAAAATAATAAATAAATATAATTTATTAATAAATAAATAATTTAAATTATAAATAAATTTATACAAATAAAATAAATTTAAAGTAAGTCTAGTTGTCATAGTTAATCAAATGGGTATATAAAAAGACCTCAGAAAATTTAAATAGCATGTTAATTAGTAACAATATTTATAACTAAAGTTTTGAATATCAATGACTTATCATTATAAGAAAATAAAACTACTTTCATTCGATAAAGGCCTAAATAGTTCTAGTAATCATTATTAATTAAATAGTAAAATAATAAGTTGTATACAAAACAATGTACATTAACCTAACCATGTTCATGTAGTGGCAGATCCGCGGGAGAGAAAAAGGAAAATTTCTTCACCACAAATAATCATCATGAAAAAAAAACCAAAGTATATTTAAAATATATTTACTAGTACCAGTACTTCTGAAAAAATTAAATTATTATGAATTAGGTAGGAGGATAATCAACATAGTACAATTTTTTAAGCTAAGGTAATATTTTTCCAAATTCACCTGATAATCCTCCCTCAAAAAACTACCTTCGGATCTGCCACTATGTTCACTACTATTTTTTATTGCAATACTTACAATGTATGGTGATAACCACCATAGCAACCTTCTGCAATTGAAATGTAGTTTTTTTTACTACTTTTCTCCATCTCCAAATTTGATACATTTTTCATTTTCACACTAGAAAGTACATAGTAGACTGTAGCATTAATTCTATCACCATTCAGAGCACCAGCTGCTTTTGAATGACTAATTGACAAACCAGTTTTCCAGAGTTTATTCCAGGCATCAACATGATCTTGTTCTAATTGGAGAGAACTACTGGATAATACTCGTTGCATGATCTGAAAGTAGGCATCAATGAATATAAATCTAGAAAAGTAAAAGAAAAACACAAAAGATATTTTATTAAACAATATTCAGATATTAAAAAAACAAGAAAAGAAGTAAACTGAAACAATAAAACTTTTTTATGTTTGTTATACATAAAATATAAATGGTTCTAAAACTATTGAATATTCATAAATAGTAAATTATAATTATGTGCCACAAAATGCCATGGTCCTTTAAGGAATTAAACTCTTATTTTAAATAGCAGTAATTAAATTTAAAAAGTAAGGAAAACTATAATGTTGTTAATAGGCTGTTTATATGATAATATGATAACTATGACAATCTCGCAGATATCAGAAAGTAATAGTTTAACACTTAAAATCATAAATGAAATTGGACAGTTTTGATGTCCAAGCACCAATGATAGGAAATATCACAAAATATTTGTTTAAACAACAAATCTAGAACACTTCCATAACATTAATGTTTGACAAAAATATTAAGAATAATGACAAAAAAGTTTAATTTTTTTAGGAATAGTTGTTCTCATATTTAACCTTTTCGCTGTTGTGAGTGACGAGCATTACGTCTATCACAGTGCTAAGTAAGACGGTTAATAGCCTGACTACTGGCTTATGCTACATACGTTTTACCTGCCTTCCACCCTTCATTACAGGCTACTATCTATTAACCTTATTTTATTGTTATCATCCTCCTTTTTGATTCGGACTGTGGACCAACACTGCTGAAATTAAATATTTTTTTTATACATTTAAATATTTATTTAATAATTCAATTTTGGTACTAAACAAAAACTCAGAATGCATGCTCAACTCCTGGGAGGGAAAAGTATTGAGAAGAATATTGGGCGGAATCTCTAAGAATGGAGAATAAGAAAAAATGAAGAGGTGCGGGAACTGTATGAGGAATCTGATATTGAAGCATTGATAAAAAGAGCCCGGATAAGATGGATAGGTTATGTGGAAAGAATGCCAAAGAGAAGCTCTATGAGAAGCCGGATGGCAAAAGAAGAATATACCCTCAGATCAGATGGCTGGATGATGTGGAGGGCAATCGGCTGGACGTTCGAAGGTGGAGAGAAATACCACACGACTGTGGAGATTGGTTGGCTGTAGTGAAGAAGCCCGGGTTCTTGCAGGACCGTAGCACTATAATAGTAATAATAATAATTCTTCGAAGCACTTGTCAATATAAAAACCAATCTTACCATTGTGACTTTCTACTTTTGTTTTGCATGGAATATTTTTTTTAGAATAAACCACAAATTTTCTGTACGTATATATTTTTTATTTTCCTTCTAAACTACTGTGTCTTAATTTTAAATAAAATAACAAAAAAAAAATACTAACTTATAAACAAAAATAATTAGTTCTATACAGCCACATAACTATCTAAACTAATCCTATTTGATCTCATTTCTAACTAAAATAACTAGACTAAACTAAATAAAATTTATATAAACTCAGAGCAGTTGAACATGTTTCACACAGAACACAAAAATAAAAATGAAAATGGTCGAGACAGCTGGAGCAGACAGAGAAAGGCTGGAGCAGGTAGTCACCAATAACAGTATAACATTTATCAAACATACGTAGAAATGTTATAAAGTAAAGTTAGGTCACAAAGTGAAGAGAATAATATGAAGCAATAATTGGGTATGCAGAAAAACCAAGTAAAAATCTTTAAGCACTTTATTTCCAAGATATGATAAAAATGGACTCCTTCCTCAAATCGTTTGAATAAAATATATAAATTGTCCCACAAAGATACACATTACATCACAGAGACAGTGCTCTTTGATAGGAAATTAGTAAAGGAAAAAAAACATTATCCTAACTATTACTTTGACTTTTAATAAGCTTTATTTTAAGCGTCCAAAATTTAAATTTATTTAAATATTACAAATATGATAAGAGTTTAATTTCTGAATAAAACCAGATTAAAATACCTCTTTGCTTTTGTTCTCCATCAAAGGTTTCTTTTGATCGAAATCCTTAATATTCATATTTTCCTGATAGATGATACAAGGTATATTAATAAAAGTGCTCCGATGAGGTTTTACCTACAACAATGGAAAAAATTAGTAATAACAATTTTTTTTCTAAAAAATAATTACTAAAACTATGACAGAAAATAAGTTTCAAAAACTTGGACTAATTAGAGAATGAACTATATTCATACTTTGTAAAATATATAAACTCATCCAAAAATTATGAAAATAGCAATATGTTAACTTACAAGAAGAGTCTATGAACATGGGAACAATGATTTCCATGAAACTTGATGATATTTCATGATAATAAGTCGAAAAATATTAGCCTAATCCGAAGATTCTTACCAATTAATGTCTTAGGATCTGTGAATTTTCTTTTTTTTACAATTCAGCAATTTTTTATAACATTGTTTTCTGTCTTTGCTCTGTATGAAGGTTATTAAAAGCTTTTACCCTATATGGATTTTAAGATTATTGAATGCTTGTGCCCAAGATTGATTTCAGGGTTATCAAATACCAATTAAATAGTTTTTTTTATTGTTTTTTGGAGCATGATAAAAAATAGAGATAATTGATTGAATAAAGGTATCAGAGAATAACTAGTAGAGCAAAGGCATCTAATACAACCCTGAAGTTTGGTGAGGTAGTTTTAAAGTTATCACAATGTTGTTTGTGATTAAAAAGAAAAAAATCAAATGCCCTAAAATTTTAAGCAAAAAATAGCACCACCCTCAGGAGGTTTGATCCATGGGAGCTATGAAATATCTATAGGCAGCAATAACTAGAAAAAAACTAATTTCAAGAGTAAATAAAGACATTTTTTGCTATATATTATTGTTATTCTTGTTCTCATCTGAAAAATTACTTATTTCATCACACCTCCCTTTCAGAAAAATAAAAATTAGAATTAGAAAACAATTATCCTTCCTATTGTTCTTAACAAGTGCAAATTGTGGCCACTTACTTTGAAGGAAAAACGCTTTAAGGTCTTTGAGAATAAGGTATAGCATACAATATTTGGTTAGTCCACTAGTGAATTTAAGAAGATGACCAATACTGAATTGCGGAACATGCATCAACTGTAAAGTTGCGGGGCATTATAACAATGGAATACCTAATGAGGAATTAGTGCTAAGACAGCTGACAAATGTCCAAGTTGTAAGAAGGTATGATAAGGAGAGGATAATTTTGTCTATTTCAGTTTTAATGGGGGTTGGAGGACTGAGGTTGTAGTTATTGATGGTATCAACATCTAAACTACAGGTTATACAACTTTTTAGAGTTACGAGTTATGAGATGGAAAGGTGAGGCAAGGATAATGAAACAATTCTTATTCCATTTTCAACATTTAATCTTAAATTTTCAAAGATGTAGAGATGGTTGACCGTTGATATAATATGAGAAGGAGTTAGTCGAGGGTGCGGTCAAATAAATAAAAAAATTAAAATATATAAATTATTTTAATTTTTGCCGACGTTTCGACCCACTTTTGCAGGTCGTCTTCAGGGCGTAGGATGTGGCACTGCGGGAGGCAGTTGAAACACACACGCCCTGAAGACGACCTGCAAAGTGGGTCGAAACGTCGGCAAAAATTAAAATAATTTATATATTTTAATTTTTTTATTTATTTGACCGCACCCTCGACTAACTCCTTCTCATATTAAATTTTTAAAAATGACATCTCATTAAATCTTGGTGAAGGGAAGAGGCAATCTTATTGTCCAGGCTTCAGACTGCAATGAGCCACTGATCCTTCAGGTTGGGTAACAATAACTTGACACTCAAACAATACATGATATACAATACACTACATAAACCCCCACACTTACAAAGGTCACATACCGTACACACTCTAGGAACCTTCCCGTAGCCACTGGGGAGAGCATGCCAGATTGGTCTGAGGAGGCAGTCCCTCCATCTGACTCAAGGAATGTGGGCTGATTAACCCATTTCTCTTAAATATCATTATCTAAGATTAAGAAACCTCTAAAAAGTGTATCAACTGGATTATTTTAACTGAAATGGCCCTTGAACCATTCTTATGACTTATACATTGTATACAGGGTCGAATCAAGTATAGATCAGTTTTTTTCTGCCAGGATTATTCTAGAATCAGGATTAAAGAACCTTGAATATAAGTATTGACTTTAAGGTGGCATATAATAAAGCCATGGAAGATTTAAATATTCCAAAGAAACTAATACATCTTTCAATACAATGGAGAATTTAAAATATCCAGTACATGTTGGAACAGACATCTAGGAATCTTAAGGCACCAATGGCAGCATTAGTAGGGGGTTGCACTTGCTTGCCTCCTTTACAATCTGGCAGCTGAAAAAGTAAGATCTTGAGGAATTGAAACTCCTAGGACAATATTTTTCAGCATGGTTCAGCTTCTAGGTTATGCAGATGACTTTGACCTGATAGCCAGATCAGTGCAGGCGCATTTTTGATAGCCCTTCTACAAATTAAGGCTTTTGAGAAGGCTGCTAATAAGCTGAGACTCACTATTAACTAACATAAAACAAAATATATGTGTGCTGGTAGCACGGAGAACCAAGAACATTCCTAGAAATAGGATCCTTTAAGTTGCAGCAGAAAGAATTGTTCAGCAATCTAGGCACAGAACCTAGTTCGAGCAATGACCTCAGCCTGTTAATTGGAAGAAGAATTACTGTTGTTAACCAATGCTTCTTCAGCCAGTTAAAACATCTACAAAGTAGGTCTATGCACAATAAAACAAAAATATATCTTTACAAGATGCTGATCCACCCTTAGTTGACCTATGGCCCAGAAGGCAGGGCTACTGCCAAGGCAGATGAAGGAAAACTTCTGATGTTTGAGTGGAGGATCCTCAGGAAAATCTTAGGTCTGGATCATAAGAAGAAATAGGAAACTTCAGCTCGACAATGTGGTGGACATAAACTGAACAAGTTTATTAAGATTGGAAGCTTATGCTGGACAGGCCATGTCTCTTGAATGGATGATTCCAGGATTCTCAAATCACTGATGTTCAAGGAAATGCACAGGGCAAAAAGAGAAGGAAGACCTAGGGCAAAGTTGCTGGAGTGTCTGTAGACTCAAGAGACCTCCTACAAATCCGGAACTGGACAGCTACATCATAGGACCATGCAAAGTGGCAGAGACTTTTAGAGACGGTCCAAACCCAGTGATGGGTTGTCATACCAGATAAGAAAATCATAATAGATAAAAAACTATTGTACTACTTCAACTAAAGATAATATTACATATCTTGAATCACCTGATTATTACTAATTCATTATAACACAATAAATTAATGAAATTTACCTCAACTACAGATGGCCAAGCCTTCATATTAACAAAAAAAGCTACTACTTCATCTTTGTTTTGTACATTTTTAATCTGGCCATTAAATGTATGTAATGGAAAATTTCCAGACTCTCTTTTTGATGATGCTCTAAAATTAGCAAAAGATGAGAATTAAAAAAGTAAAATCAGATAATTAATTCAAAACTGAAGCCATTTAATTTCACCAGTCAATTTAAAATAAGAGTGACAGTGATAGTTGGCAACTATTTTATGCAGTTGAATTTTGGCTTTAAAAAAATTAGAACCCAAGGTGGTTTTTTCATCAATCAAGGAATGGCTTCTGAGATGATTATAACAGCTGAGACTATGAATGTATGAATAAGGATGTGAATGCAAAGAAACTAATCTACAATTGAAAATCCTAGCATTAATTTTATAAATTTTTCATAACTTTGATTAATAATTTTTGCTATATGAAAAAAAAAACACTCAACACATAACATTAATAATTTTCAAATATCTTACACACTTTTTATAGTCAAGTTTTTAATACGTTTTAAGTTTTAATAAACTCAAGTTTAAGTGAGAGTTAAACAAAAATAACTCAATGGCATTAATTAGAGGTGCTATCAATATTTACAAATTTTAAAATAATGGTTCAAGTAGTAAATTAAATCAAATATATATAAACTAAAATCAAAGATATGTCAACATTATAATAACTCTCCTTTATTGAACATTGCTTAACAAAAACATTGGACATATGAATAAAATAAAATATCAATAAGAAATTAATTTTTTTATTTATAAAGCTGCAAATTACAGATGATATAACTTTGTAAAACATACCTATCTTCCATAGAGGAGGTAGCCCAATCTGGATATGTAGCTTTACTAAGTTGTATTTTTACTTCCCGCATAGTAGGATTTTTTATTTTTAATTCTTGATAAAATAAATGAGGGATTGTTCGATGGGCATAATATTTATAAATAACTTGAACACCATTAGCTATACATTGCACTCGAGTCACTGTTCCTGATTCAATATTTGTTATATATATATCTTTAATTGGTAAATCAGTTTCTACTGAAATTACAGGATTCCATTTTGTATTTAATGATAAGGTCCTTTTATCTTTAACGTAGACTGATGGATAATGAACCAATGGTATACCAAGAAACCCATTCCCTACATATGGAAGAAAAGACACCTCGTTTTCATTTGGGGGTATAGAGTAAATGAATGGATTAGTAATATCTCTTTTGTAATCATGATATGGTATCAAATTATCATCAGAGCATTGATTCATTACATCTGAAAAACAAAGAATATAGTAGGCATATTTAATATTGATAAACTAAAATATAGCCATATTTAACTAATTTTTTACAATATATTAATGCAATATATTTTGTAATACAATATACACTGACAGGCTAAAAAATCCACCCACTTGTAAAAACAAATTGTATTTGTATATAATACATGGTATTTGTAGATAATACTTAGTATTTATGGAATTTTATAATCTTTTTTACCTTTAATAATCAAAATGTGATTGGGTAAGAAAGATTAGAGAAAAAAAATTGAAAAACGAACCATTATTATTCTAAAAGAAATTAATTACATCATCGTTTAGTAGCGCGTGTTTACTCCTCTTGCCTTCACTACTTCTTGAAGACACCTCGGCATACTTTCCACCAGTTGAGAAATGTCCCTTTGCTGGAGTATAGCCCATTCCTCCCGAAGAGCCCTTTCAAGGTCCTGCAGTGTATCAGGAAGTGTTGCACGCGCTCTTATTCCTCTTCCGAGGTTATCCCATAAACACTCAATGGTGTTCAAATCTGGAGAACGTGCTGGCCAGGCTAAAATCTCAATATTGTTCTGTTGAAGGAACGTCTGCACTATGTGAGCGACGTGTGGGCGTGCATTAGAATAGAACGATCGCCAATTTCGTTGAGGATAGGCAACACAATGTTCCAAAATCTCATCTACATAGCGAATGACTGTCAAAGACCCTCCACGAACAACAACCAATTCTGTGCGGCACTCCATTGAAATCCCAGCCCACACCATTAAGGAACCACGTTGGAAAGGTTGGCTCTGGGAAAAATTACAGGCTGCATTTCTTTCGTTTCTTCTTCTCCACACCCTTTCACGCCCATCTGGAGATCGAAGAGCGAATCTTGACTTATCTGTAAAAAGTACAGCACTCCATTCATCCATAGTCCAATGGCTGTGTACTCGAGCAAAAGCCAGCCGTGTTACTCTGTGAGTTCTGGTCAACTCTGGTCCTCTTACTGGACAAAAAGCCATTAATCCATACTCATTTAATCTTCTCCGAGCGGTACATTCAGAAATGTTCCCATCTCGAACTTCTTCGAACTGATGAATCGCTTGAATAACGGTAAGGTGCTGGTTTCGTAAAATTCTCAAAGTCAAAAACCGGTCATCCCGTGGTTCTGTTACCCTAGGCCGTCCAGAACCGGGCTTTCTATTGTAAGAACCAGTTTCCCGAAAACGCCTGACGGTGTCTCGGAAAGTTTCATATGGAACTCCGATGGCATTAGCTGCATATCTAATGGAACGTCCATCATCAATAAGTGCCACACCACGTGCAACATCCTCAGCACTAAGAGACATTTTTAAACTTAATATTGAAAAAATTAAAAGCCGGAGACTAAGAAATGTGCTGCAAGAAACAGCACTGAACTAATGATACTGAATAAACATTTTGATTCCATAGAAAGAAAACATTGGAATCTAGAATCATTTCATTGAATTAAGGATTAAGGGTTATTGTCCTCTATATTAACATTCCTAATTGAAAACCAAAAAAGAGATTATCTATTTATTCATTAAAAACAATAGACCAGTCCAAAGCAGAAATATTTTTAGATGAAAACATGAAAAAATCAAGTGGGTGGAATTTTTTCCCTGTCAGATTATTTTGCATAGAGTATGCATTTGGATTTCATGTAGTGATGTTCTATTAGCTGTTTTTCTGTCCTGATGATGCCTGAATTATAACTCTTTTGACTTGTTTCTTGAATATTTTTTTTCATTAATATGCATTAATACACATCATGCAAAAATATTATCAATTAAACAAATTTTAAAATTAATAATGAATCTTTTATTTAAAACAAATCCATGGTTAAGGCAACAAAATAAGTAAAGTGAGAAAAAGTTTTGACCATCCATGGCAAGATTGATTTAGCGACCAATGACAGGTTAAAAATTAATTTCTTAAGGAAATAAATATGTAAATACACAACACAAAATTCAATGATATATAAGCCGACTGAATCAGTAGTTGAATTGATACTAGTTCATATATAAATGTGCATGGTTATAAGCTACATATAATTTTGTATAAACTTGGTTTTAGTTTTCTAATGGGCAAAGTTATGTCTTTATTCAAATATCAAATTAATTATAAATTGATTAAAATTCTAACTTTATCAGAAGCAATGCAAAATTTTTAACTTTAAACCTTTATTTATGAATTCATAATTTGCAAAATTATAAATAACATTTTCTGCAAGAAAAATCATGTTAAATAATAAAAAAAAATAATTGTAATGATCTATTCTAATTATTTTTGTTAAAAATACTGGTACTTTGAGGAGACAGAATTTGACAGCAAATAATTTTTCATGAAATTATCTGGCAGTAATTTTTTTTAGATTGAATATTAATTTTATCAAAAAAAGTTTGGTGAATATAGTTTTGAAATTTCAAATCTGAGATTGTTTCAATGTCAAACTTACAAACAAAAATATAAACATGACAAAATGAATGTAGAGTTTTACGACTAGCAGAGAGCATTTTATCTTTTTAAAGTCTAAATAATTTACTTTTATAGAAAAAAAATTGAATATAAGAATTATATCTTGTTAGAATGAAAAAGTGTACAACAGGCAAAAGAAGGTATATCAAACCAAAAAATATATAATAAAATAAAATTCAATAATATAATCATTAAATAAAATTTGAAAACTTCATGAAATACCTTCAAAAGAGTGAGACTCATCATGAAACATAAGAAAATGTGAAGGCCACATATATATTAGCAAAAACAAAGCTATCACAAACAGACATACTGATTTCTTACATCTGGAAAAAAACAAAATAAATAAACTTCAAGTAAATTAAAGCTTAAGAAGGGAATGTGGTAAAAACTAAAAATAAAGCTTTACATTTGTATAATATTAAAAGAATATGCAAACAAAAATATATGAAGTTGTGATTTACATTATTTACATCATAAATAATAATTCAATTCTGTGAAATCATAAAAAAAAAATTAATTAATTAAAAATTGTATGTAATGTGATTTATTTTTGAAAATTCAATCATAATGCATACATGTAAAGGGAATGTATTTACAGATATTGTTGTAAGCTCAAAGAATCTCTGTGTCTTAAAATAAAAGTATGGTTTTATTGTTGGTAGCAGCAATTCTTTTAACATAGTGGCTATTTTTGTGTATTGTGGGTAGTTGGTTTATGATTCTCATGCATATGTTTTGAATCACTTCAAGTTTTTTATAGTTAGACTTACAAGCATAACTCCATACTGGGGAAGAATATGTGATTATATGGCAGATAACTGCTTTATATAAAATCAATTTATTTTTTTAAGATGATTGGGAGTATCTATTAAATTACGGGACCATTTGCTAATAATATTTTTTGCTGTATTGCGTTAGTTTTTCTTCTTAGAGAACTCATTTCCAAGCTGTAGAGCCATTAATAGAAATTTATCTCAGTTTTTGACAAATTTGGTAAAAGTCAGCATTGGTTGACTGTAGTTATCGACCATAACACTTAACGAAATTATTAAGTGCAGGTACTCATTAGACGTACAATTTAACGTTCTTCATTTTGATGCACTGTTTAGGAGTTATAGGTGGAAAAACATCGAAAAAATCTGGTTTTTTTGGCAATAAAAACTCTTCCCTTGGTGGCCTGCATTAGCAATTTTGTTTTTTATATGTATGAACACATATTTAGAAGTTAAAAAAATAAAAACTTTCAACACATTTTTCACAATGAATTTCCCGATTCGATCCTCAAGTTACTGGTTAAATATAAATTAAATCAGCTGCCATTTTACTTTCTTTTACTTATATATGAAATATGTAGTAAGAGAAAGTATTGCGATGGTATTCTCAATTGAAATACTCATTTTAAGGTCCTGTGAGTCAAAATAACCAAGTCCCAAACCTTTGTACCAGATGCTTCCTCCCACCCCTATCCGTTTCCCACCACTACCCATTTCCCCCCAATCCTTAGCTGAGTTTAGTCACTCAAAAGTCCTCTTTAAATGGTTTTAACAAAAGCAAACTCTATTTTTATTTAGAGTAAATTTGGACTTGTTTTCAGTGAAGCTATCATTAATTACTTAAATTAAATTTTTTTTTTTATCACTTCTAATTCAACAAAAAACGTGACACATACTTCAAGGATATTATAGTTGCTGGGTTGCAATACGTTCAGTTCTATTGAAAATGAGTAAAAACTGGGTCCGGAAGAAAACCTGTATTTTCTTGTACTCGAATAAAAGGTGGTTCGAAAGAATAAATGAAGTTTGTTTTTTAATAAATTTTTCTCCATCGTACATTTCACATGCGAGACTCAGTTCGGAGTCAATTGGAAGAAACTGCGAAAGGAGCAATCGATATTTTTTCCCCCATCCAGGGAGGGTGCGGCCCCTAGCAGAATTCGCTAGTGCTTGTCACGATAATAATTTTTTTTTATATTACATTTGGAAATTTGTGTATGGAGATTAATTTTCCCCAAATTTCTCTTTTCTTTAAATATCTGTTTTTGTCACTTTTTTTTTCCACCATCAGAGGGAGGGCATGCCACCTGGCAGAATTCGCTAGTGGTGGTCACAATAATAATTTTATTTATATTATATTAGGAAATTCATCGTCTATGAGGATAAATTTTCTCTCTATTTCTTTTTTCTTTAAATAGCTGTTTTTGTTCACTTTTTTTTCCACCATCAGAGGGAGGGCATGCCATCTGGCAGAATTCGCTAGTGGTGGTCACGATAATAATTTTATTTATATTATATTAGGAAATTCATCATCTATGAGGATAAATTTTCTCTCTATTTCTCTTTTCTTTAAATAGCTGTTTTTAGGAACTTTGGATTTTTATTTCTAGCCTCCGCGGGGGGTACGCCCCCGCCTGGATCTGCTAGTGTATGTGGGCTGGGGTAGCCTTGCAGGCTAAGGTGCTTGCAATAGGTAATCAATGTTAAGCAACGCCAAGCGTTGCCCAGTCAGGATGGGTGACCGTCCACCAAGGAAAGCCACGCTGCCCGAGATTCCTCACCCTCCCCAGGTTTGTGAGGCCCGTCAGACTAATGGAGGCAACTCACACCGACCAGACGTAGCATTGATGACCCTACCCCGTACTCATTCATACTGTATAAATTGGGAATCGGGATGTGGTCTAGGAGATCACACTCACGGTCAAAGATCTTTATGGCCTGCAGCGCCAACCAAAAAAAAAATATATATATATACACTGACAGACAAAAAACTCCACCCACTTGATTTTTTAATGTTTTCATCTAAAAATATTTCTGCTTTGGATTGGTCTATTGTTTTTAATGAATAAATAGGTAATCTTTTTGTTTGTTTTCAATTAGGAATGTTAATATAGAGGACAATAACCCTTAATCCTTAATTCAATCTTCGACGGGTGTGAAAGGGTGTGGAGAAGAAGAAATGAAAGAAATGCAGCCTGTAATTTTTCCCAGAGCCAACCTTTCCAACGTGGTTTCTTAATGGTGTGGGCTGGGATTTCAATGGAGCGCCGCACAGAATTGGTTGTTGTTCGTGGAGGGTCTTTGACGGCCATTCGCTATGTAGATGAGATTTTGGAACATTGTGTTGCCTATCCTCAACGAAATCGGCGATCGTTCTATTCTAATGCACGATAACGCACACCCACACGTCGCTCGCATAGTGCAGATGTTCCTTCAACAGAACAATATTGAGGTTTTAGCCTGGCCAGCACGTTCTCCAGATTTGAACCCCATTGAGCATTTATGGGATAACCTCGGAAGATGAATAAGAGCGCGTGCAACACTTCCTGATACACTGCAGGACCTTGAAAGGGCTCTTCGGGAGGAATGTGCTATCCTCCAGCAAAGGGACATTTCTCAACTGGTGGAAAGTATGCCGAGGCGTCTTCAAGAAGTAGTGAAGGCAAGAGGAGGAAGCACGCGCTACTAAACGATGATGTAATTAATTTCTTTTAGAATAATAATGGTTCGTTTTGGAATCTTGGAATCTAGAATCATTTCATTGAATTAAGGATTAAGGGTTATTGTCCTCTATATTAACATTCCTAATTGAAAACAAACAAAAAGATTACCTATTTATTCATTAAAAACAATAGACCAATCCAAAGCAGAAATATTTTTATATGAAAACATGAAAAAATCAAGTGGGTGGAATTTTTTGACTGTCAGTGTATATATAATATATATATATATATATATATATATATATATATATATATATATATATATATATATACATATATATATATACATATATATATATATATACATATATATATATATATACATATATATATATATATACATATATATATATATATATATACATATATATATATATATACATATATATATATATATATATATATATATATATATATATATATATATATGAAATTAGGGGAGGGAACTCCGAGAAAGGCTTGTCCTTCCAACTATGGAGGGAAAATCAGGACTTCAGGTGATCTCTGGGCTACTCTCTCAACCACTTCACTGCTACTAAAACCAGTGGGATTGATTGAGAGTGCATTAGCGTCACAGCGACATACACTCATGTCTTGAGTGGAGAATCTGACCATTTCTGCTCCTTACAGCCATCATCCAGCTCCTGACCCTAGGATATCACTTGTAACTGCAGCCACATCTGACAATCTATTAGTTTGGGTTCCCCTTTTTTCTAGTAGCACGAAGAGGTTTAGTCAGAACCTTCCCCCATCCTTCCTCTTTTTTATGGGTTTTCCCTAGCCAGAGCAGAGAGCAAGAGATTGATACAAGAGTTAAAAGTCCCCCTAGCACCGGGTTTTGAACTCTTAATCAGTGACTCAGTCGGAATCTTCTTAGAGATTGCCTTGTTCTCTTAAATCCACTTTGATAGGGACTTAACTTCTGCTTTACAAAGGATAGGAGATAATGGAACAGGATGATAGATAATATCCATCTATAGTTCGTTAATTTATTTACTTATGCTTTTCTTTTGTTATAATTACATAATAATAATAAGTTTATGCCAGATAAATATTACCAGAGCAAATAAATATTTAATAAAATATTACAAATATTTTAATTTTTCTTAGGAGACTTTGTTTCCGGAATGTATATTTTTTTATTTGTCTGATTTATATCATTAAGAATAATAATAATCTTTTATTTATTCTGGGACAAGTCCGTTAAGAATAATAAACCAGGACAGAAATGTGGAATTTTGAGCCTCAGAGATATATAAATGTATTTACAAAGTGAAGTTATAGATATAATAGAAAAAAAATTATAAGTTATCTTCTAACTTAAATTGATTAAGAAATTTTTTTTTTTTAAATAAACATGAATTGAAAATAAACTAATAATAAACTAATTTACAGAAAGTTCTATTTTCAATTTTAACGGGACTGGATGGAAAGGAAGTGATTGAATAGGCGGGATTTAAAAATAGAGAGAGTATTGGAGCGAGGGATGTAGGGGTCCATAGAGATGAGGATCGAATAATGAAAGATTTATTGAAAGCAGTGGTTGAGTGAGCCATTATATATAAATCTGAAGACCGGGAACAGGTATTCAGGGAATGAACAGAGAATTTAAATTGGAGGAGCTCAGAGACGTATAAGGGGCGGCGGGAGTGAATGACTTACGACAGTAGGAAGGATAATGCTACACTTCTCTTCTATCTACATATATACTCAACTCTTCATAAAAACAGGAAACAGGAATGTCCCTTGGGATCCCGAAGATGAATCAAACAAAGCAATTTATCAAACGTTTTAGTTTCGTCTCGAGATCCCCAGAGACGCCGCCATATACCAAGCTAGAAATCTAGAAAGTTTTTAGAATGACCCAAAGCTGTTATCATCCCTAAAAGAAGTATCTAAAATATAATTAAATGATATCACATTTTAATAACACTTCCAAAGACCTCACACATTAGGGTTTATTTAACCGATAAAAAACAATAAAAATGTGGTGTAATGTTGGCTAACAAAGCATAAATACCACATAAAATCACAAGGGACCATTTTACTCGTGTGCTAAATAATTCTCTAAAGTGCATTGTGGATTAGAAGACGGTAATTGGACATCATACCCATATATTATTTTTTTTCTTCAGTGTATATCATAAGAGTTACAACCAATTGTTTAATATTGTTTATAACGACCATTTCTAAACAAAATTTGATCAATAACAGCAATAAAATAGAAACAATAACCTGTTGCACCTGTACACTGCTCCCATCTTTACCTTATGGTTATAAAACAAATGAATTAATAGGGCCAACTTCATAAAATAATTTGTATCATTATCAGCTGTAAAGTTATTCATATTCATGTATAAAGAAAAAAATAAAAAAACTACTTTTAATATGTTAAAATAAAATAAGTGACTAAAGTGGCCACATAATACAGTTTCGATTTTTGAAATTAAATTACATACAAGTACCTTACATTTATTAATGTAAGCAAAAATGAATAAACTTACGATACATAGACGTCTAATGACCGTTTCCATTTTTTGAACGGTTCTATAACTCCCATTTCATTTTAGACTAACAACTAAAGAAATATACATACATATTCGCTACAAAATTTATAAAAATTAGTTTAAGACATTTGAAATAAAAAGGCACTTCTACATGTCATACAAAAGTAAACATTCCAATGAGATCGCGCCAACTAAGTAAACCTAGGAGGTTTTTTCATCCTGAAAACTAGACAAGATGACTGAAAGCTGGTTCTGCGGTGTTACCACCCAGAATCATATCCTACCAGCTTCGACCAATTATCTCCAATTTTTTAGTCTAAGGACATCCATATCATTTGCCACCTCATCAGCCCACCTCAAATTTGGCCCTCCATATAAAATAAATTCTTGATAATGCTGTACTGAGAAAACTAATAGTTTAATTTACATTACTAGTAAAAAAAAGTTAGGTTTTCATCGTATTAGAGTTTAAATTTTGTTTATATACTAACCTATTAGTAAACAAAACAAATATAGTAAAAGTAGTAACCAAAGTAAACAAAATTTAAACTTAATTAAGGGGTTGGGAGGTTCCACGCGGACATCAAAACCCTCTAAAGTTCCTTCGTGAGGAATCTTAAGTTTTAAAGTCCTAAAATGTAACATTTTCGAGATGAACAATAATGTTTGTCGAAACACCCCTGGGAGCCATAGCCAGAATGGGTACTTATCACGTCGTTTATGTTTTTAAAAATTAATTTATCTTTTTATTTATAAATCTGTTTGGATTGATTTATGACTAATCATGAAACCTAAAAGATGAACGTTTTAGGGAAAGAGCACTCAGGTGGTCATGTTGAGATTAATTCTTAATGGATGGGCATATTTATATTCAAAAATATAAATACGAGTACCATTTATATTTATGGTACAAATGAATATAAATATGAATACATTCATATTCATAAAAAGTAATATGAATACAGCAGATACGTATTCACGACTGTAAATATAAATACGCCCGTATTCACGATTGTAAAAGTGAATACGGCTGTAATTACACCTGCAAAAGTGAATATGGCAGTATTCACGTTTAATAAAATGAAAACGCTTAAATTTACAGAAGTGAATGTAAAAATTTTCACACAACCTTATTAATTAATACTCTTATTTTTTAATAGATATTGTATTTATTAAATTATTTATTTAAAAAAATAGATTAACTATATATATCATTTTATTTTATATTCATCCTTGTACAATATATTTTAATTATGTTACAAGGTATTATGTTATGTTAATTATCACTTGTAATGTTTGTGCGTAATATAAATTCCCGAGTCTTTGTATTTACACTAGTAAAAGTGAATACGCTTAAATTTACAGAAGTGAATGCAAGAATTTTCACACAATCTTATCAATGAATACTCTTATTTATTAAAAAAATTGAAGATTTTTTCAACTTCAGGTCGAAACGTCGGCATATGTAAAAATAAATATTATCATTTATTTTTTTCCTTCTTTTTTGACTGACCACCCCAATTATTCTTCTCTTCATTATTCAAGACAGTCAACCATTTACCAATTATTAAAAAAATTGTATTTATTAAATTATTTATTTTAAAAAAAATACTATATATACCATTTTATTTTTATATATAGTACTATATTCTTCGGGCATCTCCCTCCCTCCCGCCAATAAAAATTCTGAGTAGGTGAGAATATTGGAATTACATAAAGAGCCGGTACTGTCGTGAAAAATTTGAAAAAAAAAACCTTACCATCCAGATTACAAGAGCCTGCAGACTCAGTTTCGCTATCAACTTCATACATTGTTCTATATGCAAACCTTAACACATTAACAAATATATGCACATTACACACTGATTGGCTGGTCCGGAAAGCTCACTATTCAAATTTGACAGCTCTTGCTCCTTTCCTTGCTTCAACGTAAGTCTGTCGTGTACACGTATTCCCCGATGGAATTTCCAGGGTATTGTTCCGAGTGTTGTACCTACCCTGGCAGTCCATTAAACTTATATTTATTGCCATTACAGCCCATCAGTAAATAGTGCACCAAAAAGTCTGTACGTCTAGAATCATTGACCCCACCCTCTGAACCCAATAAAAAAAAAACTTGAGAATTTATATTATATACAAACATTCCGAGTGATAATTAGCATAATATATTGCAAAACGAAGAATATAATCCTATAAATAAAAATAAAATGCGATACATAGTAAATATATTTTTTTATATAAACAATTTAATAAATATATTTTTTATTTAAGCTTATTCATTTTAATAAACGTGAATACTGCCATATTCACTTTTGCAAGTGTAAATACAAAGTCTCGGGAATTTATATTACGTACATACATTACGAATGATAATTAACATATTGTAAATATGTTACAATAACATATTTTTACATTATACTTTTACAATAACATATTGTAAAAGGTAAAATATAATACTATATATAAAAATAAAATTATATATGTAGTAAATATATGTTTAAAGTAAATAATTTAAAAGAAATACATTTTTTAAAAATGAATAAGAGTATTCATTAATAAAGTTGTGTGGAAATATTTCTATTCGCCTCTGTAAATTTAAGGCTATTCATTTTAGTAAACGTGAATACTGAAGTTTTCACTTTTACAGGTGTAAATACAGCCGTATTCACTTTTACAGTCGTGAATACGGCCATATTTATATTTACAGTCGTGAATATGTGATAATTAACATAACATAATACATTGTAACATAATTAAAAAAGCATATTGTAAAAGGAAGAATGTAATACTATTTATAAAAATAAAATGATATATACAGCAAATCTACTTTTTTTAAATAAATACATTTGTTTTTAATAAATAAGAGTATTCATTAATAAGATTTTGAGAAAATATTTCCATTCACTTCTGTAAATTTAAGTGTATTCATTTTAGTAAATGTGAATACAGCCGTATTCACTTTTATAGGTGTAAATACAGCCGTATTCACTTTTACAATCGTGAATACAGCCGTATTTATATTTACAGCCGTGAATACGTATCTTCTGTATTCATATTACTTTTTATGAATATAAATATATTATGAAGTAAAAGTGCAGTCGTTTATATAATTAGGGATCTGATGATAGGCATTCTTTAGATATATGTAGCTGTAATTAGTAAAGCCAGCAACTTTGTTTTGCTTTCTTAAATAATTCTCTTTTATATTAACTTTTGAATTCCATGCTCAATGAGTGAATGATAATAATAAAAAAAATATAAAAATGATAATAATAAATGTTAAAAAAAATTAAAAATTATAATATAAATAAATAATAATAAAAATTATGATAATAAGTAAATAGGCTAAACCCGCAAGGAACAACTGAGGGATGCAGTGTGGTGGTTACGCCTTCCCGTGCTCCTGAGTACAATACACCATCCACTAACGCAACCAAAGCACAAAGCATAAAACAATACACTAACATTAAGATTATTATTAACAAGATTACAGTTCACACCCTAGGGCAACCTTCCCTAGGAAAATCTGGCAACAGGTATAAAATGCATCCCAACCATCAACATGAAATAGAAGAATTGCCTCGGACGAATCTAGAGTAAGGGCTGCTCCAGAAGGATCGGGCAACGAGCCCTCGACACCAGCATACAGTGCGAGCTATGCCCCGCTGCCGTAAGACCGGCTACCCAAGGTGCTGTGTCTGTCTCGGCTTTGCACTTGGGCGCTGATGAACTTCCCGCACAAGGAAAAATGATGTAACGTCGAAGAAATGAACAACAGATGAAACGGACACGCAAGAATAACGCGTCAGCAACTCGAGCTTATTTTTTGGAAACTGATAAAAAAGGATACAGTTCTCGAATCAGTACCTACTAGAATGAAGAAACCACACACATTCAAGTCGCTTCTTAAAATATTGCTAAACCTGAACCAAGCTAGTTATACGGCCATCACAACCATAAATTGTTGAGACTATCACTCACATGAACCAAGAAGAGTCAATAAGTACAATGGAGGACACAGTAAATCCAAATAATACAGGACAAGCTAGCATTCCAGTTTAAAGACAGAACATTTAAAATGCCAAGATATTCCTCTCAAGAGTCATCCTGTCATCCATAAGGTGTTATATTCTAAAGCAAGGGTCTCTAAACTTTTTGCCCTGGACCTTATTGAGACATTCATAAATTCCCAAGAGTCATGGATGGTGGTGAAAAAAAAATCTTGTTCTATATAAATATAATAATTCAGTTTGTGACAAAAAATAAAATACGAAACAAAATTTAGTTCGTAAAATAATGTTTTGTTTTATCTCGAAGAGGATTAGCTAAAAATTAATTAGTTTTAAATATTAATTTTAAGTCATTGTATAATAGCCTAGGAGTCATAGAATAATATAATCAACATTAGGAGAAAAAAAGACAGTTTGAGACATATGGCGGACATTGGGAGTGTAGAGGGACGTTAAGTAATTGTGAATGAAATCAATTTTATATATGTGTGGAATACTTTAGTTTTACGGCATACGCCGGATTTTCCTTTTCCCCCACCTGAAACCTGAGATTATTAGCGACGTGTGCCGCTTGATTTTACAAGTTGGCAGTGGCAGATCCAGGAATTTTCTCAGAGGAGGGCGCACCTCTGTACCAGGTGCTTCCCCCACCCGTATCCGTTCCCATTCTACCCATCTCCCCCACTCCTTAGCTAAGTTTAGCCGCTTAAAATTCCTCTTTGAATGGTTTTAACAAAAGCAAACTTTATTTCTATTTAAAGTAAAGTTTGTCTAGTTTACAGTGAAGCAATCTTTAATTGAGTAATTAATTAACTATTCAATTTAAGTAAATTAAATAGTTTTTTAGTTATCACTTCCTATTCAACAAAAAACGCGGCTTACTTAAAAAATCACGAAACTTCAATTTCCTACTTTCCTGCTAATAATCGAACCATTGTTTATATAAACTTTTCTGTTCTTAATTTCTGGTATCACTCCTTAAAATAGTTCCCTCTACTTACGGGACACCTCTTGTATGGGCTTAGACATGTAAACAACAAAATTGTTAACACAGGTCACCAAGGGAAAACTTTTTTCAGCCACAAAAAGCCAGATTTATCCGATATTTTTTTCATCCAAACAGTGCATCGAAGCGAAAAACATATTCATTAATAAATTTAATTACGTTCAATTGTG